GATGAACATGTTACATAATAAAACGAACATGTTATAGAATAAGATGAACATGTTATAAAATAAGATGAATATGTATTATTTTCAATCTGCAATCTGTAACATATTCATCTTATTTGAAAACATATTCATCTTATTATGTAACATGTTCATTATATGTCAGTATAATAAAATAATTACAAAAAAACAAAAAATTAGTTGTGTTAAAAAATCTATCAAATGTGGTCTCTATTTATACATAATAAAAAATTATGAATTTTGGTATTTTATTTTATTTTTTTAATATAAATAATTAATGATATTTTAATTTATGTAATATGTCTCATTTTTCAATTAAAAAAAGAAAAATAGGAATGTGCACTACACTCTCTTAATTTTCTAGTTTTGAGGGGTGAGGGGCGCGTGCAAAATGTGCCCTGGCACACCTAGCTAGGTGTGCCAGGGCACACGGTAGTACTACTGGTCCGAGCACTATCTCGGAACTAGTATAATCTTTTATATTTGTAATTTAATTTTAAAATATAATAAAATAATTTTAATTTATATACATGAAATATACAATAATTATAAAATAAAAAATAATATCCATGTTGAATTATTATATTAAAAAAACGTTGTAGTTAATCATACTAATTAATATAATTTGTATAATATCTTACCTACTTATTATATATGATAATACTAGTTTCCTTACGGCTGTGCACGCACAGCCGGCTCAAATTTAGTCGATAATGAAGTTAAATTTAACGTCAGTTAAACGTACGCTGGACCAAGTTCAATCTCTTATTTCTTTTCTATCATATATTTTAATTTTAAGACATGTCGACATGATTTAAAATAATCAGTTCAATTTACAATTTGTTTTTCTATTATTATTATGATTAAGACAAATTAACAAAATTAGAAAAACATTTAAAACATGAATCTTGAAAAAACTGTCTAAATATGCTTGAAAATTTGCACAATTTAAATCAATAACAGTAAAGCATTCCATCATTCTATGATAGAGAAGAATAGACTAATTACAGCAAAGCATTCCATCATTCTATGATAGAGAAGAATAGACTAATTACGTAAAAAAATAAAACACAGATCTTATAATAGGTTGATGAGTCGACATCTCATTTTTGAAAATACAATATTGGATTGAAAAATAAAATGAAGACCCTACACCATCCTAAATTTAAATGAAGATGCTACCAAAATTACAACTATTACGATAATATGAAGTGGATTTTTTCCAGGTATTTTAGTTGTTAATCATGTTATCCAAGTTATCCAACCATGAAGGTAAAAGAATAACCCGCCTGCTGATCAGACACGTGCATAGAGAGGCAAATTTGGCTGCTGATCATTTGGCTCGGGTGGCGACGTCCAACCCGGTTGGGCTTCGACGAGTGACAATCCCTCCTCCATGTCTGGGCAAATGGATGGAGGATGATAGTAAAGGGGTGCCTATCCCTCAGCTCGTATCGGTTTAAGCGTTTTGCTTTTCTTCATTGTACTAAAAAAAAGAACAATCTCACATAACATATGGATAAAATCCACGCAATTCTAATCATCACACTACACTTGTTTACATGCATCAACTGAATGGATTTGAAGGGCTCCACAATACCAAAGTAAATCAAAAGCGACAATCACAACCATAGGCTTCTATTACAACATGAAGCATGACACAAAATACAATCAAAATCAATCTGAAGACAAAATCCACTACGAACCGTCACATGCACCATGTTAACCTATCATGGACTAAATAATTACACATTACATTAACGGAACCCCTGAAAATACTCAATCATAAAATGTTGCACCAACGAAACAAAGGCGTAAAGCATTAAATTTTGATATCAATATCTCTTAACCGTATTTATTAAGTATAATAAGGAATTTAAAATATATTTTGATATCAATATCTCTTAACCGCATTTTATAAGTATACTTGAGAAGAATTAAAACTATCACATATGCTTTTGGATAATGTTACTCCGTGTAGTACCCACTTGTCTCCTCCCTCATTTTTTTTTCATGTTTTTCCTCATTTCTCCTCATTTTCCTCACCATCACCATTAACAATTTTTCATCTTCTTTGCTTTCATCCTTCAATAGTTTTCCCTTCTACACTCAAACAATTCTTCAAATTTGACCTGTACAAATTCAACACTCCATTATTTAGTAAGAGGATCCAAACAATAAGTTTTTTGGTAATGATAGCTCCGCAGCAGCTTAAGCACAGGTACTATCAATATAAAACTACCTGCACATAATTGATTTAATACACATTATTTTCATGTGTTTCCACTCTTCCTCATTGTTATCTTTATGTGTCAATCGAATAAATTAGAAATTATGAAACATAAACATTGAGCAAACACAAGCGGAGCACATAGACTACCTCATGAAGAAGACGTCGAGCCTCAAGGTCCTAGCTCTGTGGTTGATCGTAGCCTTCCACGTTTTGTTGCAAAACCTTAGGCTATTGAATTGGATACCAAGGTGGCGAATTGGGACTTCTTAAAGCGTGATCCACCGTGAGTTCAACCACTGCTCGGGCCGTCATGTCACTTACTGAGAAACCAATGGATATTTGGTCAGTCCTTGTGTGTAGTTTGAATAACAAATTGAAGAATCATATAAGTTGTGAAATTGTGTGCTTTGTGCGGAAAAAAA